ATCTTATTAGAAAGCCACAACTCTGATGGAAGGTAAAAACAAATCACCTGATTGGGTGAATTGCATGCTGTTTTCCAAACAGTGATTAATTGCACAGTTGTAAAAGCCCTCATGTGTAGGTTCTTACTCACCCGTGGGCAGATGCCAATGACCTGGCCACATGGTCAACCAGGAGAGCAATGGATCCTGGCCTAATAAAGGGATGGCACTATGCGGGATGACTCTCTGGAAATCTGAGGGTTGCATTAGGACATGTTGAGGCCCATCAGGAAAAGTTAGTCCTTTATTTGGAACATCAGTAGAATCGCTAAGTGGTCTTCTTTTATTTTTTTTTTCAAAGATTTATTTATGCATACAAAAACTGGGCACAAGCTAAAGGTGTGGGGGTGGGACAGTGTGATAGGATCCATCAGAGGCAGAGTGGGGAGCAGAACAGGTAGAATGACTGAAATGCACTGCTGAGGGGATCAGTGGGCGAGACAGGAGAGGTCTGCTGCGCTTATGTGGATCAGCTCCCTGGCTGGGGATCAAACTGATGCTGCAGTGGCTGCAGATAACTTCATGGTGCTGAGACTTAACCCCTTTTGCCACCAGGGAGGCCCAAGTGGTCCTTATGATGCTCTTCCTTGAGGTAGTCAATTAGGTTCATGAAATGAGTAGACATAAGGGGCACCAACAATACAGAAATGGGCTAAATTTAGGTGTATTTTCCTTGCACCCTCTCACATGCAAAATGCCAGTAAGAAATGTTCAACCTACAGGGCCCTCCCTGGTGGTGCAATGGGTTAGGATGCAGTACTGCAAGCAAGCCGCAGCTGCTGCAGTTCTAGTTCAATCCCCGGTCCTGGGGATGATCCACATGGTATGGGAGACCTCTCCTGACCCGCCCACTGTTCCCCTCAGCAGTGTCCTTCCTCCATCTTCCTGTTCTTCCCCACTCTGTCTCTGGTTAATCCTCTCACTGAACCTCCACCTCTGGTTTGTACCCCAGTTCTGTATGCATAAATTAAAGAAAAGACCTTTAAAAAAAAAAAAGAAATCTTCAATCAGCAAACAGAATCTACAGTTATGTGGCAGATTCCCAGGTGGGAAGGCCTTGAACTACTTGTCAAGTAAGACTGATACTGGGGGCTACATATGGGTGATGAAAGGAATAGAAGCTAACTCTAATTAGGTTTTGCACATTCGGAGATGCAAATGCTCAAAAAAAGGAATGGAACAGAAGATATTATGCCAATTTGGGTCACTGACTTAGATTCTTGGGACCAAGAGACACATTCTATAGCAGTGTGTCTTAATCTGGCTCCAAAGAATACCACAATAAAAGTACATATTGTGACTGGCCAATGGTAGGGGAGTCTTGATTTTCTCACTCCACACTTCATGTTTAAACATTTTATTGAAGTGATAGCAACAGAAGGCTCCAGGGAAACCTCAAGGGTGATTATCTCACTAGGGAGAGCAGCCTCTCCCTTTCTTATACAGGTCACAAGGGGCTTAACAAAGGGATGACATTATTCTAAATTGGAGGGGAGGGGATGAGTGGGGAGATGAGGGAGATTTTGGAACAGTCTTGCATTCACTGTAAAATACACTTCAT